ATGATTATCTCCATAGATGCAGAAAAGGCCTTCGACAAAATTCAATAGCACTTCATGCTAAAAACTCTCAATAAACTAGGTATTGAAGGGACATATCTCAAAATAATAAGACCTATTTATGACAAACCTACAGTCAATATCATACTGAATGGGCAAAAACTGGAAGCATTCCCTTTGAAAACTGGCACAAGACATGGATGCACTCTCTCACCACTCCTATTCAACATAGTGTTGGAAGTTCTGACCTGGGCAATCAGGCAAGAGAAAGAAATAAAGGGTATTCAATTAGGAAAAGAGGAAGTAAAATTGTCCCTGTTTGCAGATAACGTGATTGTATATTTAGAAAACCCCATCATTTCAGCCCAAAATCTCCTTAAACTGATAAGCAACTTCAGCAAAGTATCAGGATACAAAATCAATGTGCAAAAATCACAAGCATTCCTATACACCAATAACAGACAAACAGAGAGCCAAATCATGAGTAAACTCCCATTCACAGTTGCTTCAAAGAGAATAAAATACCTAGGAATTCAACTTACAAGGGATGTGAAGGACCTCTTCAAGGAGAACTATGAACCACTGCTCAGTGAAATAAAAGAGGACACAAACAAATGGAAGAACATTCCATGCTCATGGATAGGAAGAATCAATATTGTGAAAATGGCCATACTGCCCAAGGTAATTTATAGATTCAATGCCATCCCCATCAAGCTACCAATGACTTTCTTCACAGAATGGGAAAAACTACTTTAAAGTTGATATGGAACCAAAAAAGAGCCTGCATTGCCAAGACAATCCTAAGCCAAAAGAACAAAGCGGGAGGCATCATGCTACCGTACTTCAAACTATACTACAAGGCTACAGTAACCAAAACAGCATGGTACTGGTACCAAAACAGAGATATAGACCAATGGAACAGAACAGAGCCCTCAGAAATAATACCATACATCTAAAATCATCTGATCTTTGGCAAACCTGACAAAAACAAGGAATGGGGAAAGGATTCCCTATTTAATAAATGGTGCTGGGAAAACTGGCTAGCCATATGTAGAAAGCTGAAACTGGATCCCTTCCTTACACCTTATACAAAAATTAATTCAAGATGGAGTAAAGACTTAAATGTTAGACCTAAAACCATAAAAACCCTGAAAGAAAACCTAGGCAATACCATTCAGGACATAGGCATGGGCAAGGACTTTATGACTAAAACACCAAAAACAATGGCACCAAAAGCCAAAACAGACAGATAGGATCTAATTAAACTAAAGACCTTCTGCACAGCAAAAGAAACTACCATCAGAATGAACAGGCAACCTACAGAATGGGAGAAAATTTTTACAATCTACCCATCTGACAAACGGCTAATATCCAGAATCTACAAATAATTTAAACAAATTTACAAGAAAAAAATCAAACAATACCATCAAAAAGTGGGCAAAGGATATGAACAGACATTTCTCAAAGGAAGATATTTATGCAGCCAACAGACACATGAAAAAAATGCTCATCATCACTGGCCATCAGAGAAATGCAAATCAAAACCACAATGAGATACCATCTCACACCAGTTAGAACAGCAATCATTAAAAAGTCAGGAAACAACAGGTGCTGGAGAAGATGTGGAGAAATAGGAACACTTTTACACTGTTGGTGGGACTGTAAACTAGTTCAACCATTGGGAAGGCAGTATGGTGATTCCTCAAGGATCTAGAACTAGAAATACCATTTGACCTAGCCATCCCATTACTGGGTATATACCCAAAAGATTATAAATCATGCTGCTATAAAGACACGTGCACACGTATGTTTATTGCGGCACTATTCACAATAGCAAAGACTTGGAACCAACTCAGATGTCCATAAATGACAGACTGGATTAAGAAAATGTGGCACATATACACCATGGAATACTATGCAGCCATAAACAAGGATGAGTTCATGTCCTTTGTAGGGACATGGATGCAGCTGGAAACCATCATTCTGAGCAAACTATCACAAGAACAGAAAACCAAACACTGCATGTTCTCACTCATAGGTGGAAATTGAACAATGAGAACACTTGGACACAGGAAGGGGAACATCAAACACTAGGGCCTGTCGTAGGGTAGTGGAAGTGGGGAAGGATAGCATTATGAGATATACCTAATGTAAATGACGAGTTAATGTGTGCAGCACACCAACATGGCTCATGTATACATATGCAACAAACCTGCACATTGTGCACATGTACCCTAGAACTTAAAGTATTTAAAATATATATATACACACATATATATATATTTTATATATATATAAAATAAGTCATGAGGGAGAGAAAATACTCTTAATTGGACTAACCCATGAAGTAGGATAGTATAATTTGAAAAAGAACTTGGATTAGTTGTAAATGTATAGTGCAATATCCAGCACAGCCACTAAAAATGATTTTGAAAAAAGCAGTATAATCAATATACTAATAGAAGAAAAAGCAGAATCTGGCCAGATGTGGTCACTCATGTCTGTAATCCCAGCACTTTGGGAGGCCGAGGCATGAGGATCACTTGAGCCTCAGAGTTCAAGTCCAGCCTGGCAACAAAGTAAGAGCCTATCTCTACCAAAAAAAAAAAAAAAAAAGGAAAAGAAAAGCAGAATCCTTTTTTTTTTCAGATGTTGTTTCAGTCTTGTTGCCCAGGCTGGAGTGCAATGGCACAATTTCAGCTCACCACAACCTCCGCCTCCTGGGTTCAAGCGATTCTCCTGCCTCAGCCTCCTGAATAGCTGGGATTATAGGCATGCGCCACCATGCCCAGCTAATTTTTTGTACGGAAAAGCAGAATCTTATATAATGCTCAATTAAAACCAGGGAGAGGAGAAAAAGAGTGGAAGACCAAAAAAGTAACAAATTGCAAGGTTGATAAATATAAAACAATAACAAATACTGAATATATTAATCTAAGTATATCAATAATCACTTTAAACAGCACTTAAAAGACAGAGATTGTCAGTGGATTAAAAACAAGACCCAACTATATGTTTTCTGTGAGAAATGCATTTTAAATAGCTGGGCATGGGTGGTGTGCACCTGTGGTCCTTAGGAGGCCGAGGCGGAGTGTCACCTGAGCCCAGGATTTTGGGACTACAGTGAGCTATGATCACACCACTGCATTCTAGCCTGGTTGACAGAATGAGACCTCATCTCTACAGAAAAAAGTAAGGAAATCCACTTTATAAAGGCACAAATATATTCATAGTAAAGGAATGGAGAAAGATATCCCATGCTAACATTAATCATAATAAAGTGAAACAGCCATATTAATTTCAGACACAACTGACTTTAGAACAAGGAATATTATCAGAGATCAAAAGGGGCATTCCTTAATGACAAAGGGATCAGTTTTCTAAGAAGACATAACAATCCTTAGTGTGTACACATTGAACGACAGAGCATCACAGTACGTGAAGCTAAATCTGATAGAACTGCAAAGAGAAATAGATAAATTCACTCTTAGAGTTGGAGGCATTGACATCCCTCTATCAGAAATAGACAGGTTCAGCAAGCAGAAAATCAGTACGGGCCTAACATGATCAACCATGATCAAAAACTTGATTCAATCAACGATATGTAACTGACATCTATGGACCACTTTACCCAGTAACAGCAGATGACACATTTTCTCACACACACGGAACATTCAGCAGAATAGACCACATTCTGGGCTAGAAAATGCACCTCAGCAAATTTAAAAGATTAGAAATCATACGAAGTGTGTTCTCAGACTACCAGGAAATGAAAGTAAAAAAAAAAAAAAAATCACTAAAAAAAAGATAGCTGAAAAACATGAAAATACTTGGAGGTTAAACAACAGACTCCAAAATAACTGAAGGTCGCAGAAATCTCAAGATAAATTTTTAAAATATTTCAAACTAAATGGAATTGAAAGCACAACTTATCAAAAATTTAGGAATGCAACAAAGGCAATGCCTACTGGGAAATTTATACCACTGAATGTATATTAAAAAGAACAAAGATCTAAATAAATAATCTTTCCCATTGGGAAGCTAGGGGGGAAATTAAAATTAAATTCAAAGTAAGCAAGTAAAAGCAATGATAAATAATGAATACAATTCTGAGCAGCGTGATATCTGATTTCTGGAGGCTGAGTTTTATGTGGCTTTAGAAGTTTCATGTTATGAGTGTGAATTGGCAAGTGACCATGGCGATTGTTTCTGATATGGCCATCTCAATTACCTAGAGAAGGGATCAGCAGTGGCATCATCCCAGTTCTGCATGACACCACACCAGTGATTCTCCAAAGTCAAGAAACCTGTATATGTTGTCCTTCTTGTGTTTGGTGAATCTGTGGTCTATAGACTACATAATGGGCTATTTCTGGGGTACTGACTATTTTGCTCCACTAAGGAAAACCGTGTGTGAGCCATATAACTATGGGAAACAATGTTTTCCTTTTTGACGCCTGGCCTACTCCTCTCTTCTTAGATGAGAGCAAAGGAAGAGCACTACTTGGCCTGCTGCACCCAGGCAATTTATACCATCCAGGTATCCAGCACTGAATATGTAGCAACTCCAATCCACCGCAGAACATTAATCTGTCTCTGATAAGCATGCTAATATCTACGATTCTGCCTTTGTGGGGAGATGACTCCATGGATTAACCCCCTGGCTTGGGTCAATATTGAGATGTTATATTGTCTTCAACAGGGAAGATGACAGAAAAATTATGTTCAATAGGATTATGTGGAGACTTAACATAAGTGAAAAACCTGAGACAAGAAGTTAGAAATCCTTGTTTCTTTTAGGTGAATGATTTTGGAGCTTGAGAAAATGACACCATTGTGGCAAACTTGCTTTGCCAAACGCTGTGTATGCATTTCTGGGTAAACAACACATTTTCATCCTTTAAGCATTGTTTCCATTATTTATAATTCCTAATAGTATGAGACATTTGGAACTCATTCCTTGGTTCTTCTTCTCTCATTATATCTTTCATTGTATCTTTCAGTGTTGCGAGAGATGCATCATCCCATTAATGAAAGCAGAGTGACTGCCTTCATCACACCTACATTCAAGATAGACCACTGGGCTAGTGATGAGTCACTCTTAAGGCTATTATGTTTACTCATTTAAAAAATCTGAATCTCAGTATGGATTTTCTTAGAGAGTGACTGACCTATCTGATATGATGCTATGACAGACTCTTTACTTTTTACCTGAATTTGATGGGATTGAAAGTTGAGAACATTTTATTTTCTGTTTCACTTGATTAATTATGCCCAATCTAACATGCAATGTTCACTTGGGTACATATATACAACTACACCAACTTTTTTCTTATTTTACCTTAAAAATTTTAAGGTATTATAATGGTATGGCCAGTTTACTCACTGGTAAACTTTTCGTAACAGAAGGATCATGCCAGTGGATACAAATATGTAACATCAGTAATTTGCTTTGCCTGTGAAACAGAGAACTGAATAAATTGATGGGCAAACTAGTATCTGAATATAAACCCCAAATATCATGTGACTTCATCATTTTCAGTATAATGAAAATACAGGCTGTGAATGCTTCCAGTTGGTCCTGAGAGGGCCTCTGAGATGAGTAGGTTCACCAAAGCGGCAACATGTGTCCCAGTTCCCAGTGTACATTCTACTCCTCAGTAAGTGACTTGACATTCTTTATGGCTTCCTTGTGATTAAAACATGTCTTTTTATTGAAATTTTACTGAGATAATGATGAGACAATGTAATATTCTTTTCCTCTACATGTAAGAGTAGACATAGATCCATCTCTACCTATTATTATGTTTTTGAGATGGAGTCTCATTCTGTTGCCCAGGCTGGAGTGCAGTGGCATGATCTCGGCTCATTGTAACCTCTGCCTCATGGGTTCAAGCAATTCTCCTGCCTCAGCCTCCTGAGTAGCTAGGATTACAGGCAAGTGCTACCATTCCTGGCTAAGTTTTTGGTATTTTTAGTAGCGATGGGGTTTCGACATGTTGGTCAGGCTGTTTTTGAACTCCTGACCTTGTGATCTGCCCACCTCGGCCTCCCAAAGTGCTGGGATTACAGGCTTGAGCCCCTGTGCCTGGTCTTTACCTCTACCTATTATAATATTTATGTTATTCCATTTTGTGATGTTTGTGGAACATTTGATGAGGGTTCACAATATGAAAACTGGGCATTTTGGCCAAGATGCATGTAAATGCGTACAACTCCATGTGCCCTGATAACTGATTTCTAGATCCTGAGATTCATGTGGTTTCCAGAGTGTCTGTATTTTATGAAAGTTCATATACAATAAACCATGCCAATTGTTACTGATACAGCTTCCTTGAATATATAAAGCGATTATCAATGGGATGTTCTTGTTTCTGCATAAAACCACTGAATTGCTTCTCCAAAGCCAAGAGACCTGTATGATTTGTCCGTATTATATTTTGTGAACCAGTGGACTAAAACCTTTATAATGGGTCTTTTTTAAGTATTGTCAATATTGCTCAATTAACAGAAACCATGCATGACTCATATACACAGGTGAGATGTAGTTCTCCCTTTGACATTTGCCCTACGTCTGCCCCTTAGTTGATGATATGGAAGAAGAGCACTCTTTGGCCTGTTGCGACTGGGACAGTTGACAGCACCCAGGTGTCCTGTAATGAAAATGCTCTTGACACCAATGCATCCTAGCATCAGAGCTTCGGGAAGCCTTCTCAAGTGTGCATGGGGAGTACCATGTCTTTCATCAATAACGAAACCTTCTAATGTCTTGGTGAGAAATAATGACTTAAAATTACACTCAATAGGATTATGCTGAGGTTCAGCCTGCCTAGATGACAGTGCTGGAACAGATAATAGTGATGGCTTATTTTCCTTCAAGGGGAATTTTCTTTTGAACTTGAAATAACAAAATCTTTATGGGTAACTTGTTTGCCCAACTGTGTCAGTATACCTATAAATGAACAAAAAATTATCAGCCTATAAGCTTTGTTTCAGTGATCTGTAATTTCTAATACTATGGTATTTTCAGGTCTCATTCTTTGGCTTTTTCTCTTATTGTATGTTTCAGTAAGACATGCTGCCAAGAGATGTGCCATTCTATTATAAAAGATCAGCAGCTTCCTTTACTGACATGTATATTCTACACAGAACATTGAGCTACGGAAGACTCCCGCCTAAGGGAATTAGTTTTACACTTCCAGGTAATCTGAATTTCAATACGAGTTTTCCTTTATGATATAATCCTCATGACAAAATCTTTACTTTTTATTTGAACTTCATACAATTCAATATTGAAGATTTTTTAAATTCACTGTTACCTAGTCCAGTATTTAATATACCTTTGGCTGTAGATACATGACTAGACAAAATGTTTTTCTATATTATTCTTGTGGGGCTCTAACAGTGTTTCACTGTTTTGAGTTACTGATGAACTTGCTGTAACTGTGAGACCATGGTAATGGAGGAGACCACGGTAATGAAGGAGACCACGGTAATGAAGGAGACCATGGTAATGGAGGAGACCACGGTAATGGAGGAGACCACGGTAATGGAGGAGACCATGGTAATGGAGAGGAGAATGTGAGAATCAGTATGTACTTTGCCTGTAAAACTTAAAAATTTAGTAATTTGATCACCAAATTCATACCCAAATTTCAATTCCTATCATGTGTAAACCAAAACGTATCTGAGATTTAGAAGCTTATTTAGAAGTTATTTTGACAAGGTTAAGGGACACGCTCAGAAGAAATAAACACCAAATCACAGAAACCGTCTGGGGTCTATGTCTTTCTCCAGAGATGATTTTGAGGGCTTCAGTGTTTAAAGGGGAAAGTAGGCTGGAGGGGAAAATGGGAGGGTATGATAATCCATATGTTCCAAGACAAAAGGAGCAGGTAGCAGAATAGTCAATAATGTATTCATCTCACGCTCAGTAAATCATCACTGTACATAAGATAAGGTGAACATAGAGTAGCTACTTATGGGGATCTTCTACCTTTAATCTGTAGCTATCTGCTTAAGAACAAAAGGAAATTCTTGCATGACTCAGCTTTCAGCTTAATTTTTTTTTCTTTTGGCGTAGTAAATTGGAGTCCCAAGTTTTTATTTTCCTTTCACATGTGACCCCACTATTTTCAGAATAATGAAAACACATGTTAGAAATGGTGACACTTATTCCTAATATGGACTTTGAAATGACTGGGTTCACAAATTCAGAGTCATGGGTCTTACTGTGGGTTTTTATTTTCAGTGAGTGACTGGCCTACTTGATGGAATTCTTTCAAAAAATGTTCACTTTTTACTGAAATTGTATTAAAATACTGTTGGAACATGTTCGGTCCTGTTTACCATCTCTGTAGTATGATATATGATAATATTGCAGATTATTCAGTGTCAAAAACCTAGCATACCTTGTCCTTATGATGTTGATAAGTCAATCGTCTAGAGCCTCAGTAATATGTCTTTTTAAGGTAGTATGGACCATATCTCTCCACTAAGAAATAGCCTGTGTAAGCCATACATACACAGGAACAATTTATGTCTGATTTTGAAGTATGGTCCCATTCCTATGCCTGTAGATAAAGACTGCTCAGAAGAGCATCCTCTGGTGTTGCCAGAGAGGCAAGTGCTACCACACAGGCATGCTGCAGTGAATTTAACTCATCCTGTGTCCCTGCAATTGTTGTTTAAGGATGCTATTCTGGTAAGTGTTTACAAGACAACGTAAATATATGAATCAAGAGTATCTTCAGGAGACATAATAATGTAAAAATCATGCTCAATAGGATTAAGCTAAGGCTCAAAAGTAGTGCCAATCCTTGCAAGAAGGTGTGAGAAGTTGTTAGATTTGGGGGGTATGGGGTATTCCATTTTGAGCTTGGTAGGAAGAAACCCTTTGGGGAATCTTGCATCATTTGCCTCTATCTACTTCTAAAGGAACTTTAAAAATTCTTTTATCTTGACTTTATTCTTAATACTCATAATTATTAGAGATAATATCTTGATTGATTTTTTCCTCATGGTGTGCTTCAGAATGTTCATCCAGCAAGGGGTGTGTCATTCCATGGATTATATATATATGAGTTCTGTCTTTCATAATTAAAAAAATTCCAAGTGGACCATTTGAATATTGAACATTGGCCTTCAAAATGATTACATTTACCTGTTCATACAAAATTAGTGAGCAGTGATCTATTCTTTCCGATAAGCGACTGATCTAATGGGGTCCTCATTAAAACTCCTTTTTTTATTTGCCTGAACGTACTTTGATTTAAAGATGAGACATTTAGTAATTCGTTGCAATCAACTCTAGTGATTGCACAAATAGACAATCCATTTCTATTATTTTATTTTTTGGGTTGCTGTGTATGGCGTTATGATGTTTGTGGATCATTGAGGCACTACTCACAACTGAAAGACTTTTGACAATTTTAGGGAATGGCTTGATATTCAGCTGTTTGAAATTGAATACAATACAGGCAGTCTGAAATCTCATTTCCTTATCCTGAGTCTCACTCAGGTGTCATTAGATTCAGTATAAAGAAAGGCATACACTATGCATGATGCCAATTGTTACTGATATGAAGAGGATAAGAAGTTTTATTTCTGCAGGGAAATCATCCCTTACCAGGTTGTCAAAAGACATGATACCTATGTGCTTGGCCCTTACTGTACCCAGGGAATCAGTGGCCTACCGCAGCTTAAGTAGTGGGTCATATTTGGAGTATCACATCTCAGTCTTGTAGAAATTAGGAACAGTGATTAGGAGTCATCCACATATAAGAGATATAATCCCACCCTTTGACTGTAGCCTGCTCTTGTCTTTTACAGAAAAGACTGTGGAGGAAGAAAACCCTTTACTCTGTTGTTCAGGGAGAAACTGACACCACTCAACTGCCTGGCACTGAAAATGTGGCATCCAGCCCACTTTACCGCCAGTGTTTAAGGAAACCATCTCTGGTAAGCATATTTGATCTAAGTGTGCATATGCATATGAGTGCCATGGGCTGTGTCGGTAATGAGATGTTATCTTGAAGAGAAATGATGATGTAAAAATTAAGCTCAGATGGATTATGCTGAGGCCCAGCCTAGGTAACAATTGTGAGACAAGAAGTTTGGATTTCTTAGTTTCCTTCCATTGGGGATTTTATTTTGGGATTCTGGCAATGGAATCTTTCTGTGAAACTTGTTTTGCACACTTCTATCTGTGTGCTTCTAAGTAAACTATAAATTCTGATTCTTTAAGTGTTAAGTTTCCTATAATTCCTAATTTTCTTGGATATTTGGCACTAGGACCCTTGTTCTTTTTCTCTCATTGGAAGATTTGGTAAGTCCTACTGGCACTATTCTATTGAGTGGAGGTGAGACGCTGCCTTTGCTGACTGAAAAATTCCAAATAGGTAATTGAACTAGTGAAGACTAAGCTCTATAATAATTAGATTTATTCATTCAGACAACATAAGTATCATGATAGGGTTTTCTTTTCAATGATTGACTGACACATGTAATGCAATCTTCATGAGAAAATCCTTACTTTTTCCCTACGATTGATTGTTTTCAGGTTGAGAAATATGATACATTGGAAGTTTGCTCAATGCACTGCAATTATCGTGGTCTAAATATACAGACAAAGTTTTCTGCAATGTTAGTATAATATTTTAACAGAGCTAGGATATGTTTTGATCATAGATGAATCTTTATGACTGAAGGGTCCTTGCAGTTGGGGTAAAAATGTGAGTTTCAATAATATGTGTTTGCCCATGAAACTTGAAATTGGATAAACTGATGAGCAATCTGGTGCCTGACTTTTCTCTCCCAAGTACGTTTGGCTTTATTTTCGTTATGATGAAAGTGTGTGCTGTGAATAATGCCAATGGTAAATAAGACCTTTATGGACACTTACATGAATGACAGTCAGAGCCATTCCTTCAGGCAACGTGACTATCACTATGCATTCTTCTTCTCGATGAGTGACTAGCATACTTGACACAATCTGCAAGAGGGAAACTTTCTTTTTTACTAAAATTGCATTGATACAATATTGACAAGTGTTGTGATTATTGGTATCATCTGTAAGATGTGATATTCATTTGGTCTAAATATAGAAGTTAACATATTAACTTCTAATTTATATATGTCAGGTTGCTATGTTTTTACAACGTTTGTGGTTTATTGGTGATGACTCACAACATAAAGACTATGGCATTATGGCTACATGTTCTAATTCTGATATATACATGTCCCATCATTCGTTAAATTAAATACAATTATGAGTAGTATGATGTCTGTTTTCTAAAATTTGAGTTTTACCTGGCTCCAGTATGATCATTATATGATGGAGTGCAAGCAACATTATAATGCCAATTGTTATTGATATGGCTTCCTTGAATATGTAAACAAGGGTGATCAATTGAAGGTCTTATTTCTGCATTAAACTACCTGAGATATTCTCCAAATTCAAGAGACCTGTATACTTAGTCTTTATTCTGTTTGATGACTAACTGGCCCATAGTCTATCGAATGGATCATTTTTTCCAGTACTAATCATATCTCTTCATTAAGAAATAGCATGCATAAGCCATACATACAGGAAGTAATATTTGTCATCTTGATCTACTGTCTTATCCTCCTCCCCTTAGATAAGGATGATTGAGGAAGACTACTCTTTGGCTTGTTGACACCAGCACAGCTGACACACCCAGATATCTGTTTGGTCTCCTGTGAACTTTCAACCAGGATTTAAGGATGCCATTCTGGTAGGTGTTTTCAGGCAAAGTGAATATATGATTGTGGGGTTCCATGGCTTGTTTCAACAATAAGACCTTATGTTGTCTTGATGACATGAGATGACATGAAAACTAGACTGGCTGGCCCTTATCTTTTCTAGGGTATTCTAGTTTGAGCTTAAGCTAAAGAAATATATTTGGGATACAGTTTCTCTCACCTCTTTCTATTAGCTTCTAGAAGACCACTTATCAATTATTTCCTCCTGATTTAGTGGAAAACATTTTGGCAGTTCCTCAAAAAGTTATACATAAAATTACCATATAACCCAACAATATTAGCCCTAGGTACACACTCAAAAGAATTGAATATAAATGTTCAAATGAATACATGTACATGAATGTTCATAGCAGCACTGTTCACTGGCTGAAGTTCCAGACCCGCCTGGCCAATATGGCGAGACCCTGTCTCTACTAAAAATAGAAAAATTAGCTGGACGTGGTTGCTCATGCTTGTAGTCCCAGCTACTAAGGAGGCTGAGGTACAAGAATCACTTGAACACAGGAGGCAGTGGCTGCAGTGAGCTGAGATCACACCACTGCACTCCAGCATGGGTGACAAAGTGAGATTCTGTCTCAAAAAAAAAAAAAAAAGTAAAGGAAGGTGTGTCACACAAAATAGTGAATACCAATAAAAAGATATAAATTATTAAAAAGAACCAAGTGAAAATTCTGGAGTTGAAAAGTACAATAACTAAAATTTAAAAGTTTATTAGAGGGCTCAACAGTAGATTTGAACTGGCAGAAGAAACAAAAGTAAACTTGAAGATAGAACAATAGAGATTATGTTCAAAAGAACAGAGAGCATAAAGAATAAAGAAAAACAAAGAGAGTCTCAGAGAATGTGGAACATCGTTAAGCATACCAGCATACACATATGGGAGTACCAGAGAGACAGGGGAGATACAAAGGATCAGAAAAAATATTGAAGGAAACAATGGCTGAAAACTTCCCATATTTGTGGAAAAACAATAACCTACATATCCAGGAAGCTCAATGAATTCCAATGAATAAATGTGAAGACTGACAAATGGAAACATCACAGTAAGATTTCTGAAAGTCAAAAACAAGAAGAAAGTCTTGAAAGCAGTGTGAGAAAAATGATTTGTTCCTTACAAGGGAACCCCAGGAAGATTAACAGCTGACTTCAGCAAAAGCAGTGGAGGCCAGAAACAAAGTGATAACATATTAAAAATGCTCAAAGGAAAAAAACCTGTCATCTAAGAATTCTTTCAAAGCTGTCTTTCAAAAATGAAAGCAAAATAAAGACTTCCTCAATTAAAAAAAAAAAAGTTGGAGAGTATACTGCTGTCAAAACCCCCTTAAAAGAGTTCTCTAAATACTTGAAGTTCTTCAAGCTGAAAGCAGGTGACCCTAGGTAGTTTTTCAAATCATCATAAAGAAGCAAAATGCGGCCGGGCGCGGTGGCTCAAGCCTGTAATCCCAGCACTTTGGGAGGCCGAGACGGGCGGATCACGAGGTCAGGAGATGGAGACCATCCTGGCTGACACGGTGAAACCCCGTCTCTACTAAAAAATACGAAAAAAAAACTAGCCGGGCGAGGTGGTGGGCGCCTGTAGTCCCAGCTACTCGGGAGGCTGAGGCAGGAGAATGGCGTGAACCCGGGAGGCGGAGCTTGCAGTGAGCTGAGATCCGGCCACTGCACTCCAGCCTGGGCGACAGAGCGAGACTCCGTCTCAAAAAAATATAAAAAAAAAAAAATAAAGAAGCAAAATGCTTGTAAAGATAATTATATAAATATAAAAGACAGTAGAAATGTAATTGTTCTATTAAGTGATTTTAAAATAAATGCTCTAAAATAATATGTATATAATGTATTTTGGAGTCTATTACATATAAAAGTGTAATATATTTGCCAAAGAAGATAGGTGGATGCAAAGCAATACAGGACTAAGGAAATGAGTACGGATGGTAGATTAATATTTATTACAATGTCTTGCTTGGCTTATAGCATCAATAAATGTAATATGTATAATACTACCACAAAACATGGCAAAAAGGGAAATAGAGCTATACAAATGTAACATTTATGTATATGGCTGAAACTAATGTAGTGTAAATTAGAAACTTATTTGGGTGAGTTAAGATATATGGAGTAAACCCTAGAGCAACCACTGAAAAAATTCAAAAAATATAGTGAAAAAAATTTTTAAGGAAGTTTAAATGCTAAATTATAAAATAATGAAAAAGAAGTAAAGAGGAATAGAGGAACAAAAACACATGAGACATAGAGGAGAAGAAGAATGACATCATAAACTCAACTATGTCAATAATAAAATTACATGTGAATAGAGTAAATTAAATTAAAAAGCAGAGATTCCCAGGCTGTATAAAATCTCCAGGTTTAATATCCCTTTGCCCCCGAATAAAATCCAGCTTTTCTTTCTATGATGTATTTGATCACTGTGCTGGTTTACAAAAGATTTCTAACCTTTCTAAAATCTTTAAAATCAGTGGCGAAGTGTTCTATTTCATTTCATCCTTATCAGAGACTCAAATCCTGAAAAATACCAAGTTGATCTGCCCATTCTTGAGTTCTGCTGAATGGTGTCTTCCCAGATCACTATGGATATTGCTGTTTACTTGACCAGTGACTTTTAGTCAACAAGATTTGAACAACGCTTTTGATTCACACAGCGTGAGACCTACACTTTCCTCATATTGAAATAGGGGCATTAGCATTCTGGATTCCTACACCCATCGGCTTTTGAACCGTATGATTCCTGTACCCCAAGAAGCCATGTTATCTGGACATTGTCCTCTCTGTGATGGGAAAGAACAGTTTTTTCAACAAATGTTGCTAGGACAACTGGATATCTAGATACAAAAGATACTGCATTTATGTTACCAGTTTTCTGTGTCAGTCCCTTTTGCTCTGATGTAACAGAATGCTGCAGACTGGGTATTTGTAATGAGTGGAAATTTATTGGCTCACATTTCGGGAGGCTGGAAAGATCAAGGGGCTGGCATATGGTGAGGGCCTTCTAGCTGTGTCATCTTATGACAGAAGGACAAAGAGATGGTATGGATGAGACAAATATCTTCTTTTATAGGAACCCACTCCTGAAATAACAGCATTAATCCATTGATGAGGGCAGAGCTCTCACAGCCTAATCACCTTTTAAATGTTGCCTCATTAAACACTGTTGCATTGAGGGTTACATTTCCAACATAGGCTTTTGAAATGAAATGAAACATGTGACCATTCCCAATTGCAGTTTGAAATTTCAGTGCTTTCTCAGTACCTGATTGAACATGGATAAGATAATCAGTAAAGGTGGATGTAAGAACACTATTAACCAACTTGATTCCCCTGGCATATGTAGACCACGACACCCAGCAATAGCAGAATGCACATTATGTTCAAGTGCTCATGAAGCATTATTTTGTGTATATGTATTTTTTCCCTTTTTTGATAAAGTTAGCTAGTAGAGTGCCTATGTAGTTAATATTTTTTAAAACCACAGACTTCTCAATTATTAATTACATCTATGGTTTTTAACATATTATCTTCATTAATTTCTGCTTTGATCCTTATTTCTTTCTTATACTTTCATTTTTGCTCTTTTTTAGTGTTTTAAGATGAAAATTGAATTTTCATTCACCTACTTTTTCATTTTTAAAAATAAAAATGTTTAGTGCAATGAATTTTCCTCTAGAACTGCCTTTAAATGCATATTACAGATTCTCATTTGTTGTATATTTTAAAATAATATGTAAATACATATCTGCATACAAAGACATATGTATAAAAATATGTATTTACATATTATTTAAACATATGTATTTTCTGTTTATATTTTTCCTTTTACTCAGGAGTTAATAGGATATTTTTAAAATTTCTTGGTGAAAGAGCCTTTATGTTATTGCTAATAAAGTCTATTTTTTTGCATTGTGATGTTTTTAATATTTCTTGAGTTACTAATTTTTCTTTCCAACCTAATACATAATCAGTTTTTTTGTGACTATGCCTTGGGCACTTATGAACAATACATATCTTCTATTATCAGTCAAGTTTAATATATAGCCATAAAGTCCACCCTATTTTTATGTTGCTATTTTTGCCCACTTGATCTGTCTTTTTCTGATAATGGTGTATTATTGTTTTCTATTATAGGATCTTCTATGTCTTGTCTCCTTACATCTCATACATCTCATGTAGTTTTTTATTCATAAAGGTGGTTATTATGTTATTTGGTATATAAGTCTCCATAAGGGTCAAATCTTCATGTGTATTATATCTTTTAGCATAAAAAATGTGTCCTTCTTTGCCTTGGTTAACATTGTGGGGCTTGAATACATTGTGTGATATAAGAATCACTACTCCTACATGTGACTGGCGTGGAAAAAAAAAGAAGAATCACTACTCCTGATCTCTCTTTGTTTTCATGTGCCTGATATACTTTCACCCATCCCTTTATTTTCAGTCTTTTAGAATCCATTTGTTTTAGATGCATCTCTCATAGAAAACATATTACGTTTTATTTTGTGAGCCTGCTGAAAATATTTTTCTTCTAGTAGGTGTGTGGAGTCCACTCACGTGTGTGTGTGTGTGTGTAGCTATGACTGATATTTATTGTGTTTGTGTTTTCTTTATATTTGCTGTGCTCTTTGGTCACGGTGTAGTCTTTGCTTGCCTATTTATTTATTCCTACTTAGGAGAGTTGTTATTTTTGTTGGAGTGTTTACTTTTCTCTTCATTCTGTTAGTTCTGTGTTTTCCCAGTTAATCTTTTACTTCTGATTTATGAGTTTGGGGGATGTTCTTTAACACTCCCCTACTGCTCATGCAACATGAGCTTTATGGTAGATCAGGGATTTAAACACAATGCTGTCTGTGCTGGGCCTTCAGGAGGGTGGGTGGGTATATGTGGCTGAACAGTGCATGCTGGGTACATGGGAGGGTACCCATGAGTGCTTTTGGTTTTCCTCTTTTTCTTTCCTCCTCCTGTGTTTAGTTGTCTTATTTCTACTTCGTCACAATATTAGTGACATTTGTATGCTAGTCTTCTACCCTGGATAGGAATATACACTTGTCACATGGAAGGAATATCATGTTGTATGCTGCTGTCAAATAGATCCTAACATGCTTTAATAATCTTTTAAATGATATAATCTTCATAGTTAACTCCTGACATTTTATTTTTGCCATATTAAGTAAATATATCAGCATTGACAGCCATCCCGCTGCAATATAACTTCACATGTTGCTTAGACTAAAGGGTTCTGAGAAGCTTCTGGAGTTGTCGTGAAAGCCAGTTTCACTAAAGTCAAGTCAGACATCCGCCTGTGCTGTTTTCTGCTATAAGCTGAATGTAGAAGATACATTGTTAAGAGCCTCAGTGTGGTGTGAGGAGTGTTAACTTATTGGTAGTAGACTTGTCTGAATCAAGGATAAGCACAAGTATCTGAGATGCTGAGGTGTGGCTGAATGAATGGCCATCTATTCTATTGCAACAGGATGAATAACACATTCAGAGCAGGCCCAGTTGGTGAACTCTTCAATTATCTCACAATACCACTATCTTGTGTCTTTCATTTTTCACATCACAGTGTATTTTCATAAACTCTTTATTGGTAGACTACAACTTTAGCATTTCCCATTCAAGATACAACTGCTGTGTCGCTTGGATAGCTTGGTAGAGAGGAAATTGGCTATTTTCAGAGTAAAGAATTCAAGGAGGAAAGAAATTTATAAATGAAATGACAAAGGTGATGAGATCAAACAATGCTGATGTTTGTAGCAAGGACTAGAGTGCTGAGATGCCTGTATGATAAGAAATTATAATGGAACCAATCTTGTGCTTTATTTTTTATTAATTTGGAGCATTCTCTGATCTGATTTATTTTCTATGTGATATTTTGCTGCAGGTTAAAAGCTCAAACAACTTCAAGGAAACTTCAGGGAAAAGAGGTGAGCAGCCACTTTGGTAGTTTTGAAATTCTTTGTGTGTTCTGTGGGCAATGATTTCAGAACATCAAGGACTGTGAGTTCATTATTTCAGAGGCTGAAAGGAGATTATTCTTTTGGTAGATATATTTCCCCAGGGGTCTCCCTACCTTGCTCAAGGATTCCTCATTATTGTTTCTCTCTTTGTTTAAATCTCTTTTTGAAATGACCTAAACAATGGTGGAGAATCACTGACATATTTCCTTTTTTCACTATTCGTGTTGGGTGAAAATAATCTCATAGTGAAATTCACATGTTCTCAATATTGTTTTTTGAATCTTTATCTAGCATATTCATAACAGATGTTTCTATACATATTAGTACCGTAATAATACCATATACTTATTCTGCTACCTTACTTACTCCTTAAACTTTTAGTTGATTAATGAGTTTTTATAAAGTTCCCCAATAGATTTTTTTTTTTTTTTTTTTTTTTTGAGACATAGTCTCACTCTGTTGCCTAGGCTAGAGTGCAGTGGCATGATTTTAGCTCGCTGCAATCTCCGCCTCCTGGGTTCAAGCAGTTCTCCTGCCTCAGCCTCCTGAGTAGCTGGGATTACAGGTGCGTGCCACCGCACCCAGCTAATTTTTGTAATTTCAGTAGAGACGGAGTTTCACCATCTTGGCCAGGCTGGTCTTGAACTCCTGACTTCGTGACCACCCGCCTTGGCCTCTCAAAGTCCTGGGATTACAGGAGTGAGCCACTGTGCCTGGCCAGATTTTAATCTAATTTTATTGGAACAATTCAGTCATATGTTTTTTCATGCTATGTATGTGAGAGTTCCATCATTCAGATACTAAACAAATGTCTACATTTACTGTTCTCACTGATGATGCATTAGATAACCATGCACAAAATAAGCCTGGCTGTGGAAATGCTTATTTGTTGGGAGAGCGCTTGTTTGGATCGATGATGAGAATAATTGTCTGAGGACGCTGAGGGACTCATTCCAGATGTCAATCTGAGGTCCAGATGTGTGGCCCTCCAATAGGACAAATAAGACTCTCAGAGCCTGGCTCTATTTGGGGATCCCTCAGTGACAACAGAGTACCCCTGTGAGCATGCCTTTTCTGTCTCTCCTGAGAGGGCATTAGCATCCTGTCTTAGGAGTCAGTATGCACTTTAGTATGCTTAGTCCCCAAGACTTGCTTTAATTGTAGGTAGATACTTACATATAGGAAATACGTTCTTAAGTAACAAATGAAAAACTTTAGAAGATTGAATTAAGGTCAAGCAACTGTGATATGTCTGCAAATCTCATTAGTGTTATGCTGAAAGAAGGAAATATGGCATGCCTTTATTAAATAATGACAATGGAACCATGTTTAGTGCTTTGTTATTTTTACTGTGGAGTATTTTCTAAGATTATGTTTGCTTTTTTTTTATCTTTCATGTTTTGCTGAGATAGAAGGCCTGGAGTCTGATCCTCCACTTCAGAGAACAGGGGTGAGTAGCTAAACCATTATCTTTGGAAATTCATATGTCATGTGCTCTTTGCTAGGTCTTTAGGTTGTTGTGTATATCTCTTCAGAAGCTTATTGAAGGACATTTTGATGATACGTCCTTTTCCTCATTGAGACCCTCACCATGTCACCTACACTATTGAATCTATCATTTCTGTTTTAATTTTAACTCTCTTCTGCTTTTATGGAAAAATGTAGAATTTAAGAGAATTTTTGGCAATTTCATATTGGATCAAAATTTATTGTAGTGAAATCCAGGTGTACCAAAATATTAAGAGTTTCCTCATCCGTTTAATTATTGGGGTTTCAGAATAGAGACTCCATGGTTCATAAGATCGTTGTGGTCATACTACATTATATTTCTGCTTCTAATTGAATTATTAAGTATTGACTTGAATTAGTCTTTTTCTCGTTGTTGCAGCAAGGTAAGTTATATAGGAAATTTTCTTCTCTTGATGGCATGCCTGAGATAATCATAGATATAAGACACCTGGATGGTTTCTAGAATGCATGTAATTTTTATTTATTGATCTGTGCGTTGAGTACTTACTGTGTTTGCATCATGCAAATACATTGAGCTTTACAATTTTAGTGGATGCACTTTTCTACATGTATATTATTCTTCAATAGAAAGTAAAAAAAACCTCATCAAACTAGTCAAAATATTGGTTAATACATAAAAAAGTCTCAAGTAGATTGTGTATTACATGGTGCTTATTGATTGATGCCCTCATAATAGATCAAGTATGTTCTCTCTTTAGCACAGGCCTTTTTAGCAAATCGTGTCATGAGTAGTTACTCCAGTATTTTTATTTTAACACATTTATGTTTTTTCTATGCATGTTCTTAAATTCTCTTACACTTTTTTCTCTGTTATAAAAACATGCTGAACAATCTCAAGCCTTAAAGATGGCAGTATTGTCCCTACGTATTCATGTATTTTGGTACTCAGTTCTTTATACTTTGACAGATCACTTGAACGTGTCTCTTGTTTTGCAGAGAGGGAATTAATGGGATACCTTCATGCTTTTCTCTTCTATGTGCTACATAATTGAATATACAAGCAAATATAGTTATTAAGGTTTAGTATGATTATTTCCACAACACATGCAAAGAAGTTTCTCATAGATCTTAATAGAGGCCCACATGCATTGTACGGTTGAGAATTTGGGAAAATGTTGATGAAGTTGGGTAAAGTATAAAGCCAAAAGTCAGAACGGTGAACTCCTTGCTTAAGGATTTCCTTGGAGATTACTTAGTCAATATACAACTGATAAATTTAAGTGCTTTTCACCTTTTGAGCTCTCGACACACTAAAGCTAAAATGTGTTTCAACTTTTAATCCTGCTTCCCTAATTTTCCCTTTTTTAGTTTAAGATCAAAGAGCTCCAGCCATAAATTACTACCAAGAGTAACCACTTCATTTTAAGAAAGCTTAGCAATATAGAAGAATATAAAATTATTTATGACAGACGTATTTTTAACCTTTTCCCCATGCTTTCCAGAGGAAATATGTTTAATCATCTGCCCTATATTAGGGAAAGACTTTCTATACTAATACAAGTATCTATCAATCATTAATCTTTCTATATAAGATGTATTGATCATAACCAATTAATTTTATTGTAAATGAGCTTTAGATTTGACATTTTGGTAGTAATATATGTTGTACAATCTCCTGAGGTCCTATAGGTCTTGAGATCTCTATGTCAAAAACTATAGATGTGTCAGTGTTTTCGGTGAATGTGAAGGATGCCACATTTTCCTTAGCCATTTCTTCTGTTCAGAATAATGGTTATGAACATTTTGCTACTGCAAGATATCCATATATTTATAATCAGAATATGCCAGTTTTTATGCACTCATGCCTCTGTTTCTGTAGAGCATTCCTAGAATGAGTAATGCTTGAAAATTAGGTCCATGTGGTTTCTTTAATGAGATATAGTCAAATCATGAAATATTTAGGTTACCATTATTTCAGTAATGTATTAGAATGTCAAGGTATAAATTTATCTACGTTGTATATATACACACAACATAGATATAATTTAAACAACATATATATTTATATTTATACAGCAGACATATATTTATACAACATAAAATATATTTTATTTAAACATAAAATATATTTTATTTAATGTAGATTCTTTTTTTTTTAGTTTAAGACTGAAGGTTTAAAATCTTTTTTTTATTATACTTTAAGTTCTAGGGTACATGTGCACAACATGCAGGTTTGTTACATATGTATACATGTGCCATGTTGGTGTGCTGCACCCATCAACTCATCAGCACCCATCAACTCGTCATTTACATCAGGTATAACTCCCAATGCCATCCCTCCCCTCTCCCCTCCCCACAATAGGCCCCAGTGTATGATGTTCCCCTTCCCGTGTCCAAGTGATCTCATTGTTCAGTTTAAAATTCTTTTCTTTAAGAATGTTGAATATTGGCCCCGACTCTCTTCTGGCTTGCAGAGTTACTGCCGAGAGATCTGCTGTTAGTCTGATGGGCTTCCCTTTGTGGGTAACCCAACCTTTCTCTCTAGCTGCCCTTAACATTTTTTCCTTCATTTCAACTTTGGTGAATCTGACAATTATGTGTCTTGGAGTTGCTCTTCTTCAGGAGTATCTTTGTGGCATTCTCTGTATTTCCTGAATTTGAATGTTGGCCTGCCCTACTAGGTTGGGGGAGTTCTCCTGGATAATATCCTGCAGAGTGTTTTCCAACTTGGTTCTGTTCTCCCCATCACTTTCAGGTACACCAATCAGATGTAGATTTGGTGTTTTCACATAATCCCATATTTCTTGGAGGCTTTGTTCATTTCTTTTTCCTCTTTTTTCTCTGCACTTCTCTTCTCACTTCATTTCATTCATTTGATCTTCAATCATTGATACTCTTTCTTCCAGTTGATCAAGTCGGTTACTGAAGCTTGTGCATTTGTCACGTAATTCTCGTGTCATGGTTTTCATCTCTATCAGTTCGTTTATGGCCTTCTCTGCATTGATTATTCTAGTTTTCCATTCTTCTATTCTTTTTTCAAGATTTTTTGTTTCTTTGTGCTGGGTACGTAGTTCCTCCTTTAGCTCTGAGAAGTTTGATTGACCAAAGCCACCTTCTCTCAACTCGTCAAAGTCATTCTCCGTCCAGCTTTGATCCATTGCTGGTGATGAGCTGCGTTCTTTTGGAGGGGGAGATTTGCTCTGATTTTTTTAATTTCTAGCTTTTCTGCCCTGCTTTTTCCCCATCTTTGTGGTTTTATCTGCCTTTGGTCTTTAATAATGGTGACATACTGATGGGGTTTTGGTGTGGGTGTCCCTTCTGTTTGTTAGTTTTCCTTCTAACAGTCAGGACCCTCAGCTGTAGGTCTGTTGGAGTTTGCTTGAGTCCACTCCAGACCCTGTTTGCCTGGTTATCAGCAGCGGAGGCTGCAGAAGATAGAATATTGCTGAACAGCAAGTGTTGCTGTCTGATTCTTGCTCTGGAAACTTCGTCTCAGAGGTGTGCCCAGCCGTGTGAGGTGTGAGGTGTAGGTCTGCACCTAGTGGGGGATGTCTCCCAGTTAGGTTACTCAAGGGTCAGGGACCCACTTGAGCATGCAGTCGGTTTGTTCTCAGATCTCAACTTCTGTGCTGGGAGACCCACTACTCTCTTCAAAGGTGTCAGACAGGGTCATTTACATCTGCAGAGGTTTCTGCTGCTTTTTGTTTAGCTATGCCCTGTCCCCAGAGGTAGAGTCTATAGAGGCAGGCAGGCCTCCTTGAGCTGTGGTGGGCTCCACCCAGTTCGAGCTTCCCAGCAGCTTTGTTTACCTACTTAAGCCTCAGCAATGGTGGGCGCCCCTCCCCCAGCCTCGCTGCCGCCTTGCAGTTAGATCTCAGACTGCTGTGCTTGCAATGATGGAGGCTCTGTGGGTGTGGGACCCTCTGGGCCAGGTGTGGGATATAATCTCCTGGTGTGCCATTTGCTAAGACCCTTGGTAAAGCTCAGTATTAGGGTGGGAGTTACCTGATTTTCCAGGTGTTGTGTGTCTCAGTTTCCCTTGGCTAGGAAAAGGGATTCCCTTCCCCCTTGCGTTTCCCAGGTGAGCTGTTGCCTCACCCTGCTTCAGCTCTCGCTGGTTGGGCTGCACCGGCTGACCAGCACCAGTTGTCTGGCACTCCCCAGTGAGATGAACCCAGTACCTCAGTTGAACATGCAGAAATCACCCATCTTCTGTGTCACTCGCACTGGGAGCTGGAGGCTGGAGCTGTTCCAGTTCGGCCATCTTGCTCAGGATCCAGGTTTTTTCATGTAGATTCTTAAGTGATAAATATGTTTAACATTATTAAAATAGATTAAAATAGGTTATAGTTAATACAATGAAAATTGGCAGTCCTATTACAAAACGTATGCCATAACTATAGCATTTATCACTGACAGTCATACCAGGATAGTCTTTTATTTCCAATCACTTAAACATTCCTAATTGCAAAAAAATTTTGAAGACTAAAATTCAGAAGTTTTGAAAGAGCCATTGCCTGGATAAATTATACAGGTTTCAGTTTTATTTATAATAATTATGTATATATTTATAAATTAATACATAATAAATTAATAACTTGTGATAGGCAATGCAAAGATGACAGTGAGAGGGCAAAATTGATAAGATTGATAAAGTCATGTTAACATGAAGAAATTAACCAGGATACCATCCACACTATAAAGTTAGAGAAATTTATCAGGACAGTTCTCAAATACTCTTCTCAATTTTAACATTGTAACAGGAAGTTTTAAGATTTTGGTATTATGTGTGTTTCCTTCCAGATAATTTGAACAGATTCATATTTGGTATTTTTTAAAGCCATATCTTTGTCCTTAGTGCTAGCAATGTATTCTTGAGAATGAACAAATCAGAAATATGTAAAAGCCATAAGTGAGGGTGTCAGGTTGAAGTAGTCAATCAATTATACAGAACACAAAGAATTTTATCTTGTATGATGT